ATTTGGCTTAAATGATTAAATAATTAAATATATTTTCAATAAAAACAAAAAATAAAAAAAATCACATTTTTTCCGACAATGGATCCTTTTCAAGAAAACAAATAAAATTCTTGAATGCTCTTGAAGTAATGAAATACTTTTAAGAAATCTACCAGATTGATAAAGAATCTTAAAAATAATTTTCAATATTAATAAAAACCATTAGAATCAAGACTTTAGAATAATTTAAAATAAAGTAGTACCATCCTTTGGATAAACATGTGGAGTTGTTATAACTTTCCTCACATATAACCGGACTCCCAAACTCTATTCTGATTAGTAGACCAAAACCTATTCTTTTAGGGGTCTTTAATCAAGCTTAAGAGCTCCTTACAATGATAGATTGATTTGATGACCAATCACACTTAATTAAAAAAGATTAATAGTGACTCCTTAAAATAAGTCTAACTATAGATTTTCAGATCTATATATTATAAAATATATGTATTTATGTACACATATATATGTATATGGTAGTAATTGGTTTGAACTAGCTATATAATGAAAGATAACTCTCTTATATTTCTTAAACTCAACTCATAATTTTCAAAGTTTGAACCTAAGATTCTTAAATTGAAGTTAATTTCAAATTCTAAATCATCCCATAAACCTTTGAACAACCTCAACCCTTTTATACAAATCATATTAAATGGCATGAACCACACGATTAAATATTTAATCTTGGCTCCACAATTCATTCCAAAATTATCTCCTCGCATAAATATTATACATGAAATTAAAATTTACTCGAGAGATTATAAAAAAATATATATCATAAAAATATTCAAACATTTTGAGATATTTTCAGGCTCAAAGAGTTGGATTGGCATCTAACTTTAAGGCTTTAGGTCTAGTTAATTGATATTAATAATGAGCAGAAAATCTCAAAATTTGCGGTCACTAAACCACTTTAATTTTACTTGTATCCTCTGGAATTTCATCAAATGCCAAAGCCAGCCGTGATCTGATACACTAAATGTAGGAAAGCAGTCAAGTTCTATATTAATTGGATTGCTAATATAAATAGCAAAACGAAAGGTGTCACTTGGGGATCGGTCAATGTTTGCCAGGCAACTCGAAAAGCATGCATCTTTGGTACACTTGAAAGGATCACAAGGTGTTGAGGTCATATTTTGTTGGAGTAACGGAGATGGTTTTGGGATAGATGCATGAATGTGGCAGCTGCTTGTCATTATGCATCATGAAGTGCAAGACTTTAAGACAATCCTAAAGAATTATTATTATGTTAACATTAATTTTCTTTCTTTCACCAAATGATTGTAGACCAAGAGAAGCAATCGATAAATAGTTTTTCAGTTATAACATTTGGAAAGCAAATCTGTTGGCTGACACATGTTTTCCGCAACTCTAAATCCATCATCAAGAATTAAGTTTTTTTTTTTTTTAATTCTAAATTTATTTAGTTGATTTATATAATTATTTTTAAAATATAATATCCAACAAATCTGAATTTAAATACTAACATTTACAATCCCTTCTCTTATATATCTTCAAACAACAGCTTCATTTATTAAAAAATATACATATCTTTCTTACCGTGATGCTCCATCTTGTACAAAAAAAAGAAAAAAGAAAAGGTCTTATTTGATTATTTGGCCAATAGTTTTCAGGTTGAACAAGGTGGTTTGGTATACAAACGAAATTGATTAGAATAGATAACTGCCATATCATTTGTTTGGCGACTTCAATAACAAAGTCTAACAATTCAATGTTAATGGAACCTTATAATGTGTACAAATTCAAGTACAAAACAAAATTTGTAAAGATTTGATGGGCATCAAATTAATGGCAACAAGACCTGATTAGTATACCTAAGACATTTTCATGCATCAACTTCATTCAAAATTTTAGATGAATGTGATGAGAAACACAAAACATTTCTTTGCTTGTGTCTGGGTAGATTTGCAAAATAGTTCAAATTCTACAATGGTGCCCTTCAAATATATATATATAAAAGAAAGGATCAACTTATACAAAAAAAGTTTTACACTTTTTATATTTTTTTCTAATAATTTATTTCAATAGATAAAAGGGATAAAATTAAACGTTTTTGTTTTATTTGTCTCTCTCATCTCTTAAATTTATTAAAATCAATGGTTAAAAAAAATAAAACTAAAAAATTTTACACCATAGAAGTTGATTCCTCTCCGTAAATAATATATATACTGAATTTGTCAATTTCTATTCATGTTTTTAATTTTCTTCAATTCTTTTTTATAATTACTTATGGCACTTAAAGAAAGGGAAAAATTATGATTTGAAATGAAAATACGAGTGGGAAATATCCTTCAAAAGCTTTCATGTTGCCTTTAAGCAACTGCATGGCACCTAGATGACCGGATACAATATCTTGCTTATGATAAAGCTAGGATATCATTTTATGCCACCATGCACTACAAATAATTTTTCTTTAAATGGTTTTGCAGATTCACTTGAGTGTGTTATTGAATAATTTAGTCTCTTCAAGTAGTTATGGGAATTACACATATCATTGAGCCTATAAAATTGTATGGTCATGGTCTATATTTATAGATTCATCGATCATCGAGTTCATATGTAGCTTCAAAAGTTGGCAATCAGCACATTACTCCTGTTGAAATGAAACCTGAAGGGTTCAAATCTATCCAAGAGTTATCAATGCTTTTACAATTCATTTAGAGCAAAATAAAAAAATAAAAAAGAAGATGTCAGTATTTTGTGTTCAGAAGCAACTTAGATTTAAACATTTACTTACTCTATCAAAATCCCTAATCAAGAAGAATTTAAGTTCATGTTTGATGGATAGAATTATTAATAAGATAAGATATTAATTATCTTATATCATATTTGATTTGTATTTAAAGAGAAAGATAAGAATTGTAAGAATAATTAATATCCCCTTAGTATAGGATTATTCAAAATTCTTCCCAAGTGAAGAGAATTATAATCTATAGGATTAAACTTATATGTCTACTTATATTTTTAAAAATTACATTAATAATTTAAATTATATAAATTTTGAGAAAGAATAATTTTGACAAATAAATAAATTATTTTATCATAATCATTACATATATCAAATACAAAATAGGATGACATTCTCTAATTTAATCTTATTTATAATATTATTTTATACTATTATATTTATAATCTTATATGCCAAATATAACCTAAATATACCAATTTCTCTTAGTTTTACTATCCAATTTAACATATTATTTAAGTACTAGTCAAGAATGCATGAACCAAAGTTTATAGACGAAAAATATGATAATTGAAATAATATCAAATTAAACTCGAGTTTAGTTTAATAATTAATTGGTTTATACAATCACTCATAAAATATGATCTTTAGTAGATTTGACATTAAAATTTTAACACTCACAATTCTTTTCTTATCTCCAAGACTGAAGCCAAAATACTATATATTCTTTTCGTTTTCTTTTATAAAGACATTCATGATCAAAATTTAATAAGTTACATTGCCAATTGGAACAAAGATGTTCTAAAGCTAATAATCAATGGAGTCTAATCATGCACATAGCCTTTAAAATTACAATAAATCACAAACCGTTTGAGGCACGAACATACTCTTTTTGAGAAGAATTGACATCTAAAAGGGGTGAAAAAGATTTTAAATTCTTAGCCACTCTTCAAGTAAAAAACTACATTACCACAATTCTTTTGAACTTTTTTCAAAGAATTATTGACAATATAGGTTATGAAACTCAAACAAAGAAGATAAGAAAATTGGGCTCTTCACCTAAAACGTGACCTTAAATGGGCCTTAATAAGCCCATAGAGCCTCCTTCCCATCTCCGCCGTCTCCTTCTCTAAGAAAATAGTTGGTTTTGGGACTCTTTCTCGCCATGGAGATATCAATCATGTTCGCCAAGTTTTCGTTCAAACTCCACACCCAAATATATTCTCCTGGAATTACCTTATTTGGGGTTATTATCTTATTGGAAGGCAATACAAAGTACCCACTTTTGTAAATAAAAAGTTGGTCAAAAAGGGGTACTCTTTTGCTAATGCTTTTACCCTGGCTTTTGTGGTTATGGCTTGGTTAAATATTCTTGCTTTCGAAGATGGCCAGCAGGTTCATGCCCTTGTTTTTCGATCTGGGTTTGGTTCGAACCAGTTTGTGCAAAATTTGAAGTAATTGGGCTCGCGAAGAAAGTATTCAATGAAATTCATGAGAAAAACTTGGTAGGATGGAATACAATGCTACGTGGGTATGCTATGATGCGATTGGTCAATGAGGCGTTTGGTGCGTTTCGGGAAATGCAAAAGTTTGGTGTTGTTCCTAATAAGGTTTCGATGCTAAGTGTGATTTCTGCATGGCAATGGTAGGTGGGTTAATCGTTCATGTGTATATTTAGAGGCACAATATCAATCTTGGAGTGTGATTTGGTGAAGCTCAGGAGGTTTAAACTTGTGTTGTCAGTAATGATTTGGTGAAGCAAATGACCAGTACCAGTAAAACAACACAGCGTAGTGGAGAATTGGAACTGGTGTTTCTATGCTCAAGCATCAAAAGTGTCAATTTCTTGAAATTTCCAAATCGTCCACATAATGTTCGAATTCGAAATCCTTTTTTAATTTAAATTTTCATAATAAACTTCAACTCTCAAACCAATTATAACATGTAGCAGTCCACAGCCAATCTATTTGAACTGAAATTCTTTCTCGTTTCACTTCTTGGCCTGCATATATAAAGGTTACAGGATCTTACTACAGTTTGTTTTTTCATTTTTTGCCCAGAATGTGATTTTATGTGAAGAAAAATGTTTCAATGTGAATGAATATTTGTCAGTATCGTAAAGTTTCAGATGAAAATCAAACAATTTTGCAGGAGGTATATTTTGGATTACACAACTTTCCAACCTCATATACTGCAAATCAAATGAATGCTCAATAGGATTAAATGCACACAGTACAATAATTGAGACAGGCAATGGAGATGGTATGAGAAGGGGTCTGATATATACTCACTGAATCTCAGAAAGGGTTTACCTAGAAACTAATAATCATCTGTCAAGGAAAAGTAATTTTGCACCCTCAGGAGCCCGATACTGTATGATAACAGAGGGAATGTTGGACCATATCTTCCCTCAAATTACAACCTCGTTTTCATTCTGAAGGACACAAAATGAAAGTCATTGCATAATATTTCGGTTGCTTGAAACTTAATTGGTTGGAAGCTCCAAAAGTATTTCGAGTTCCCTAAATTCGACAATTTGGGCAATAGAAGCCTATAATTCAGCTTCTGAAATATGGACAAGAAACACAACGATTTTTTGAAAAATAGGCAACTTTATTAGAGAAAGTGGCCACAACACGGTACACCCCTAACGGCCTATTATATGTGAGGGCCTCTCTCACTCCCCATTTCCCCACATAATACACATCACTACGGCTATACAGTCATGAAATCCCCCCTCAGTCCCGTACAAATGATGACATTTGATGCTACTTAGACTTTAATTTCTATGGGCCATCGGTACATCTCCTGCTGTGGAACTGGCAGAGTAAGTGTCACCAATCCGTTCGCTAAGTCATAGTTGAAGTGAGTCTCAGCATTGCCCACAGTGCACTTCAATGGACGTTGAGAAGAGTAAGCACCAAACCTTCCACAACCCCTAACTTTAAGGGTGATTGTTGCAGTTGGACTCCGGTTGTCGCTGAGTGAAGTTGTCCACTCCGAGGAAACCTCACCATCAAAGAGCTCTGGCTTCTCATCAGATGTCATGTGTACTTCGAGCTGCTCCACAGCACCACTGCTATTGAACATGTCAAGCAGGCCTATTGGTGCAAATGAAATGTTTGCAGTAATCTCCTGCACCATAAGAAAGCATTCAATAAGCTACCATTGTCAAATTAACATAACAGCCAAGAAGGAAAGAAATTAAAAGAAACTAACCTTGACTGGACAGAAGTGGAATAGTTCATACTCAAGAACCTTAAGTGTTACTGGCACCGAAGCACCTTTAGGTAACCGTACAACCTCCCCTTAAATTCAAAAGGCATTTTTTAGCATGTTTAAAGTATGAATTCTTTGAGTAAATACATCACACATGCAAACATCCATATAAAACCAATTGGCACTCATCACCTTACAAAGTGCAAGGGTGCCAGAACATCTTGGCAGAGAAAATAACTACCTGATATATGAGCATAAACCACAGTCTCACCGTTCCAGTCTGCACCAGCAACCTGAGTGATTGAATCAACATCACTGGCACAAACAGAACCAGTAAGGGTACCAGGTGATACATCATGAATCCGGGTTTTCTTGGTGATCTTGCACCAACCAGCACCTTGGCAGTTAAAAACACCCACCACACCAGAGCATATGTTCACATTCCATATCTTGAGCAAGCTGCAAAACAGAATTCTGTTGGTAAAGCTGCAAAATCACACAGGACGTGCAATAAGCAATGAGAAATAATGCTACCTAATCCCATCTCTAGCTGGATCAGCAAACAGACAGTCAAGAGTAGGCCTGCCAGGCAATTGGGTGCGGAGAACTGATCCATCAGGTAGGACCAGCTTCTTCAAGAGCTCAAAGTTGTGGTTGCCAGGCTTATCGCTGCATAAAACAACACAAATACAAAATGCATGTTAGAAAATTGTTACAACATTATGATCAGCAAAATTAAAAATCAACTTTATCATTACAATACCTGACATAGATAGCACATCCACCAATTGCACGAGCAGCAGCATGGTATTCTGCAGCTGGGTGTAAGCTCTGCAAACCATCAATTTTATGATTAGTGCCACATGTAACCCTCATTTTCAGCCTTTCTTTAGTGAATATATAATCATTGTATACAAGGTCATAATCTACCCCCCCCCCCTTCTTGGTAATTTAGTAAGACTATTGGTCAACCATCATTATATGTGAACAACGCTAATTAGAGCCGACTTTAAGAAAACTACAGATAGCTTAAGAAACATAAAACACTTATTTTGACTTACTTGGAACATATCCCAGTCAGGTTGCATAAATTCTCCAAGGAAAAGAGTGTTGTAAGCCACTGAGGAAATGTGGATAGTGTGAGAGGCAGGGTCCCTAGGATAAAAGTCATCAGAAGCTCTAACAACAGCAGTCTGCTTGGTGCTGTAGATTCCATCAGTGTTATGACACATACATGCTATGCATCCATTGTCAGGGAAGTTTCGGGCAATTGAGGCTTCAAGGGCCTGTATATAACTGCGGGTAAGAGATACTCTACCACCATGCCCAGCACCAAGGGTCTCAATAATGTTTTGCACGTCAACCTTCACTCCATCAACTCCACATGAAGCCAGATAGGCATGAAGCTCATTGTAGAAGTTGAAAACTTTCTTAGGATGCACCAAACCCAGGCCATGAAAAGCAAGGCTGTCCATAACTATGTCCGGCTGGTTGCCCAAGACACCTGGGGACTGAACAGGATATGCCAATGCTGTATCATAATGTTCCATACCAGCAGCTGCAGGTTTGACTCCACCCCAATAACCAGCCAAAGCATGCCAAACATATACATACCTATGCCCAAAGTAAACAAAATGTTAATTTTGATAGAAGTCAACATTATTTAAAGAGAAATTACAGAGAATGAACTACCAAAATTCAGATCTTCTAGATCACAAATAAGTATGACTTTTTTTACTTAAATTTATACTAGTAGCCAACATAAATACGCTGTTTTGATTCAAGATCATTATAGGAAGAATGACCAAGTGGCAGGGTTTAAAGTTTCATGCATATGATTCATAAGTGTGTATTCCAATGTTTGTAAAGTCTAATTTGTCCATTTTCTTTCAAGTCGAGAGTGTTAAAATGTGGATTTCCAAAGTGGATTCTTAAACAGGAAAATGAATCAACTTGTCAATGCAGTTCCCGCTCAGATCAAAACCAGCAGCAGCTGGTAACAAGAAGATCATCCATCCATGGTCGGCTAACAATAGGATCTAAAGAAATTGGTCAATTACTGATCATGCAACTGAACAAGCTAAATAATCATTGTAATAATCATGTATGGCATGTATGGCAGTCTTTTTGCTTTCATAAAAGAGTTCACAATAGAATGCATAACCACTGATAAACACAAAACCAGAATAACTTGGACCACTTACTTCACATTATGATACTGCTTGGCTTCTTGTACAACATGTTTTAGGCCCGAGATCTGTTCATTGTTTTGACCATTCCTTTGGAATTTTGAATTCTCTCTAATCCCTGTCAACCTACTCGCAAACCTGCAAGAAACATTGGACATCATAACTACATCCAAATTTTGTAATAATCAGTGTTAAATGTTCAAGATCTTCATCCAAAAAGAAAAAAGAAAAAAGAATCGACTGGACATAGAAGAAAACAAAAATGTGATACTAGAAGGAGACGAAACATGCCACTAGAGAGTTACTTCAACTCCATGTCATTCACATACATTGAAGCATTACAACTGAGCTAAAATTCAAGAGCAAGAGCTAAACTCTGACATAAACAAGGACCACACAGAAGTAAAAACAGAATATGACCAGGAATAGGGACCACCAAATGAGATTCACCAGACTATTATTATATCTAATATATATTGTCCTCCTCTCCAGTTCATATGATGAAAGAAAGCCGCCCCTGTACCTGGTTACTCCAACCTGCCATCAGCTTGTGGATGCATCACCTTAGAACTGCCTCTCATTACAAGATCTGTGTTCTACACCTGGTCTACAAAAATAATTCTAGACTACGGCTGCCAAAACTTCTTGATTTTCTACTTAGTCTACTTTTCCAAGTTCCCAGCTTACAAACCCTTAAAAATGATAGGTTGAAATTTTTTTTTTTTTTTTTTTTGTGACGAGTAGAAAATAATGTATCATATGAAACCTGATAAAAAAAATGAAGATATTAAATCTTCAAAATCTTCAGCATATTAATATATTGTTAAGGAGCCATCCATCCAGGCACAAACTTTTACCACCAAACAAGGTTTTGCATAAATACATAGGGTAATTGTCACAAAAAAAATCAAATATTTTCAGACAAAAGATGGCAGAAGATCTTTGGATGCTCCTCACACAAGACGCTTGTGAGCAATTAATGGCACATAATTTTTTGTCCAGCTGTGCTTGGGTGCATGTACATTTGCGAGCATATGTGTGTGTGTGTGTGTGTGTGTGTGTTTATGAGAGAGAGAGAGAGATCTTACTGTGCCCCTTCTTGTACAACACTATCACTCTCCTTGGGCTTAGTTTCAATCTGCTGCCAGCCATCATCTATGATCAAAAATCGAGGTGGAGTCCCTCCCTCAGATAGACTGCAATTAAAGACAAAATGAATTCATTGACAATCATCTTATTATCATCGCATTTTTTTCCATCTACAACTAATCACTAACTCACATTGCTATAAATGTCTATTACCTTTTGAGGCCTTCCTCAACACCCTCGGCAGTAACATCAGTGTAGAAAGCATCCCATGTGCACCAGCCAAACCAATCAAGAAATGAAGGCAACTATTCACAACCAATGTAATAATTTTAGAATAGATTTGTAAAGACAATATTAGCTTTGCCACAAACCAATTTAGAAGTATAAACCAACATGCTATAAAATAAAATAAAGGCAGGGGAGGTAAACATCGATGCAAGTAATTATACCTTCTTCTTCTCTCGGAGAAGGAAAGTTTGCATGTGTTTCTCCACCGCCCTGGTTCACAAAGCCAAAAACGATTAAAATGCTCATTAAGCAGTCATTTAAACCACAAGTAGCAAAATATATTTAGGAAATCTAATAAAAGTCTTGAGATGTGATTGTAATTTGTCCATAATTTCTAGAGAAAGGAAACAGGGACAATAACTTGTTTAAAAAGAAAAAAAATGACTACATGCTAGGAAAAAAATTGCATGAGGAAGCATATCTACTCACTTTACAGCCTGGTTGATAACTTCAAACGGATTGGTCCCAGCATGCATGTAGACAAGGTAAAGGCCTCGGTCTGTTTCAACAGTGTTATCTCCTGCAAAACCAAATCACACACCACAAAAACAAGTTGTTTCAGTTCATTCGAACTTGATCCTTTCTATCAATTTTCTTTGCAAAATGTTATATATGCCATTAATCTTGATTTATTGGCATAGCAGTCATTCATGGTTTCTCCGCACTATTTGTCACACAAATGACAACTCCACCTCATGATTGATGATTTTAAATGGTTTGCCACGTTCATTAATGGCCGCTAAGATAGGACTGAAGGTTTGCCTTATGCAATTGAATGATAGACGTAAATAGCAAATGCCAGATCCTTTTGAGTGCCATAAGCTACTCACCACTCTCAAGGCATATCTCAATCTCATTCTTGTCATTGCCTTGCAGAACAGCACGGAATTGGCCTTCAAGGAGTGGGAGGAAAACAGTGTAGATTGTTGGGGCACTAGGATCATCTTCTTCCTTGCTCTCTATGAGCATGAATTGAGTCTCCAAAGGGACATCTTTCCCACATGTTCCCATTCTCTGAGTCATCCACCATAGTTTGAATCGGAAACAGCACATAAATCGGAGACCTCTGTTACAGGAAAATAAGAACAAGTCATGACTTTGGCAACTAGTCCACACCATAATCATCTAAGAAATTACAGTTTTTGTAAGACTTAAGTATCAAAGTATATGTCAGCAAAACAAAAGTCCCGGCTGACTATTAGCAATAAGCACGAAAAGTTAGATTATCCAATGAACATGTACTTTTAAAAGTATTTAAAATATATTTAAGCATGAAGAACACTTATAAATATTCGAATCAACACTTTAAATAAAAGTTCTATAACTCTAGATTCCAAATTACTGCATATTCATATAATTCATTTCTTTCCAAGTTAACTAGGAAACAAATTGGACCAAATGAATCTTTATCTAAACATGCATACAGATGAAAAGAGTGAAATAAAGTAAAAGATTGACCATCACTAACATGAGAAGCTTTTTACTGTTAGTTATAAAAACTGAAATCATACATCTCTTTCATGACTACTAATTTTAGTTTATAGCTGAGTACCATATGTTAGCAAAAATTTTAATAAAAAAAAAATAGGAACAATTAATAGTAAAATGAAAATTCATTGATTTGCTAAATCTCAAATTCTCAATCCATAAACAATGCTATTGGTAAGAAATTTCAAACAATAATACAACACCAACTCATAAACATAATATTATTAGAAGACAAACATCGATTCCAATTAATAAAAGGCAGCTATAATGTCTAAATTGGAGGAAATAAAGTTTAAAAAAGGAGAAAGTGCTTACTCTAAAACACCTATAGGAAAGACATGAAGGCTTTTGCTATCAGAAGCAGTCGCACCAACAAAAGTACCAGTAACAAGCCCAACAACAGATCCTGGAGTCAAAATGATGTTGTCTGGCACTCCAGTGAGGATGGTCTTCCCATGAACCATAAGGTTCCCATCGTTGATAGAAATTCTTGGTGTGACAGTCATTGTTGATGATGTGCACCTGATAACTGTCAAACAACATAATAAACAGCATCAATAACATTGAATAGAACATATTAAAAAAAAAAAAGAACAAGCTTAGAAACAGAGTTTCAATCAAACTAGGAACTATACTGGAAAAAAAATTTTAGGCCACCCATTTGCAGATTATATATATAAAAATGCGTAAGAGAGGCTCTAAAATTTTGACCTTTGGGTTTAAAATATCTTGGAAAGCTTACGCTTTTATACGGGACACTTCCAGTGTCATGAGACTTCCCTGAAGTAAGAATCAACCCCAATTGCTTTACTGATGTTATCCTTAATATTCTCTCACCTAACCGTTGAATGAGAATTGAATTTTGAACCCACCAAAAATTATTAAGAAATGAGAAAAAATATCTGAAAAAAAATGTGTGAATTGTTAAAAGTCATTTTTCGTTTGTTGAAACAGAGATAACCAGCACGTTGGGCTTATTTTTTCTTTTTATTTTTTTTTCTTGGGAGAAAATATTATATTTACGAAGAAATATCTACAAAGGAAAAAGAAAAGAATTATTCGAATTATTCTTTTTTTTAGAGAGTGTTTAGGCTTCGGTTCGTCGCTTTTTTTAATTCTCAGGAGAAAAAAATTGGGATTTTATTTTCCATTTTAGGATTTTTAGTGGAAGGAATATACCAACAACTTTTGGTAATTACCGTAGCTTTCAGGTGGTTAACTTGAAGATCATCAAAACCTATATATATATATATATATATATATATATATATATATATAAAGAAATTTAAGAAATTATCGGAAAAAATAAAACAAAACAAAACTCGGGAAAAAAGGTGATGCCGCCGGTGGACCACAATGATTGGTTTCGGCTCCAAATAAAACTTTTTTTTTAGAAAAAATAAATTCTTCGCACTTTGAAAAAATTATTTTCTTTCTCTCTAAAAATGAAAATAAGAGAAAAAAGTGGGTGCTGAGAGTTACGGGGAAAAGAAAAAGTTTGGACTGATTCACGATAAAAGAAACTCCAACAAACTTAAAAATCTTCACGATTATTTCAAAGGAAGAAAAAAAAAAAAAAAACAATGAATTTTGAACTTTTTGCAAAATTTTATCCAAGTCTCTGTAAGAGTAAGAGAGTACTCAATCGTTATAATCTGTCCCAATAAATGAGATTATATTGTTACTATGTTCTTCATCAACAGCCATTTGACCCAGATCTACACCAGTAATCACAGATTTGGCTTTAACTCCACGCTCCATAGGCATCTTGGCTCAATTTTCCTCCATGGAGCAAAGCAGAAGCTTAACAAATCCATCAAAATCCCAAAATTAAAAAATAAAAAGTAAAAAATCATCAGCTCAGAAAAACTTCAAATTACGTCTCAATTCATGATCTCCACTCCACGTAAAAAAAAATTCTCGGAAAACCATCAATCATGGAATCAGCAACAACTCAGGAAAAAGCAAAAACAATTTACTCAAAAAGAATTCACCGTAAACTACAACTTCAAAGTTCGCAGCCCCAAATAAACTCACCGGTATCTAGCTAGGTCCTTAAGCCACCGAGAGAAAGCCGATAGAGAGAGAGAGAGAGAGAGAGAGGAAAGCCTAGAAAACGAAGGAAACACTCAGCAGAAGCGCACTCCAACGAAGGGAATGCCTCTCCTATAGAGGAGAAAGAATGCTAAACAGGTAGGAACGCACGCTTATTGCTCGTTTTTTCAGACAAGGATGCAAGTAAGGGGGGCGCGGATGGTGGGTTTATATACCAATTTCCGGAGTTAATCATCGAGCAACTTCTATTTACTAGGCCATTCCGGATTTTGCCACGTGAAATATTTTTAGTTGTATTTTATCAGGATTTTTTTTTCGTTTATTCAAAGTGTTATCCTTTTATAATGAGTTAAAATTACTTTTACTGTATTAATATTCAAAAACTATTTAATTTAATACTTAGAGAAATAAATATATAATTTATATTTTAAAATTTTTAAATATATATAAATTACACTTTAAACTTTTGAATTATATATCATATTAATCTAAATTTTAATTTTATTAATTATATTAACTTATATATGTTATGTATGATAAATATTATCAATTTATGTATTTATTATACATATTATTAATATTTTTAATATAAATTAAAAATATATTTTTTAAATTTACTTGAATTGTAAAAATATTTGGAATAGATCAATTATTTGTTGTCACATTACATTTATATGAAAAATTTTATAAAATATTTAATATTTTTATTTATTAAATAAAATATATATAACAAAATTATATTTATTAAATACTATATAAGTATGTTAAGTTAATGTTATCAAAATTAAAATTAAAATTATGAATTATTTAAAAGTTTATGATATAAATATATTTTTTATTTTTTAAAATATCAATTTATTTATTTTTCAGAGTCTAAATGTTAAAAATGTAATTAACTCTTTTTGAATAATACTAATTAATTTGAGATACTTTGGATTTTTGGCGTTTTTATTAACTGTTGGCGAACTGAGCGGTGAATGAGTGACAGCTGGGTGTGAACTGTAAATTTAAAGAGCGGTTGAAATAAAAAATAAAATAAAATAATGAAATTAAAATGAAGAGCATTGTAATTTCGGTTGTGTCTGGATTATTTTTCCAAGTCGCCTCATTTCACACGGTTTTCAAGCCAGTGGAGGAGGCATAGAAGCGGTGGCAATTGTCATTGGCAAGAACAGTACCATCGCCTTAAGATACCCCAAGGGCAATTGTAAAGCTCTTCAAGTTAGCCGATGAATGTGTACAAATTAGAATATTAAATAAAACAAATCCCACATTCTTTCGCATAAACCATAAACTATAATATTTATAAACATTTAATGATCAAGGAAAATTCAAACCGGGTTTTCGTATTTCTTAAACCTAAAAAATTCTGTCCATTCTTTTCCCTCAAATTTGCGTTAAATGTTTCAATCATAGCCATACAATTGGCATCGGCCTTTGTCACGATCTTACCAGTACGTTCATTTGTATTTGTTAAAAATAAAGTAAAAGAGTTTCCATCAGTTTATCTTATCTTTAAATGGATATAAACTATTAACTTGTTTGCTTGTTCCGAATAAAATACATGCCTATGAAAACTAAATTAATTAGTTTAATGCTTAACGTTTTCCTAAAAAAGCCCTAAGATATATAAGAATATTTTTGTAAAAAATAATGTCAAACATTTATTTTTCGATATAAAAATATCATAATTTAAAAATAAAATTTATAAATATTAAAATTTAAATATCATATATATTAAATAAAAAATAATTACATCCGTATTCATATTTCATGAATAAAAAAAAATTAAAAAAACAATGATTGACGTAGCCAAGTTGCAACACGGAACGGGGGGGATGGGACCATGAGATTAAAGCGTTGGCCGATTCTCAACACGTAAGAAGTTTACGTCAGATATGCGCCGAGATAATCGTTGCGTGCTCCTCTTCGCCACGTCAGCTGCAGATCTGTACAGAAAATTGAGTTGGACAGGTGGGTCCCATGCACCCCCCTCAGTTTATGGAGTAACCTCATTTTCGTTCCCTTTGCAGGTGAAGTTGTTTTGTTCTGATTAAAGTAGGCTTCAAGAATTAGAGTTTTAGTCTTAGTAATTAAAAGTATGTGGGGCCTAGACACGTCAGCTCTGACTCTGATTGCATCCGTAGCACCTTGTGGCTTACCATTCTTCACATCAAACTTGTCTTCCTTGTCATCTTCTTGTCATTCTCTCCACATCAAGCACCGTGTTTGGATTTGTCTTTGTGACATTCTTAACCATAGTTTGGATTCCACCACAGCTATTATACACGATCAGTTAAATTCATCGTATTATTAAATAAATTTAAATATTAATTTTAATAAAATTTATTAAATATAAATTTTGTATTAAAATTTTTTAATCATAATTATGATAATTTTTATTATTATTTTTTATTTCATTAAAATTAATTTTATTATTTATGCAAATAAAGCGTTAATAAATATAGTTTCAATAATTTTTTTCTCTTTTCTTATTGGGGTTCAAATCCTTTATCATTAATATTAAAATATATATACTAAAATCTTAATTATTAGTTTTTATTAAATAAGAGATATAAAATGAAAATGATAAAATTTTTAATTTTTAATTTACATATTTTTTACATATTATTTTAATCATTAAATAAAAAAATTAAAGATAAATTTTAACTATTAGTCGTATTATTATTAATTATTTCATTAGTTTTAAAATATTTTTTATGTATTAATTTTTTTGAAATTTAAAAAAATTAATTTTAATGTATTTAATATTAAATTTTAAAAAAATTATAAAATTAAAATTTTATGATTTTAATGTTAAAAAGTAAAAAAATCATATAAATTATTTTGAAAATATAAAAAATAAGAATTTTATATGCTAAAAAAATAAAATAAAATTTTAAAATATCCTAAAAAATATATTTAAAAAATGAGGTCGAAAAAACATTAGAAAGAGAAAACATGACCAGTATTATCTCAATCATTAGCAAGTTGATATTTATTTATTTTCCATCATGTCTTTTTGGCCATTAGTTAATTAATTAATATATTACAGATAAATGTTGTCATCCTATTGACACTTTGACTCTGATAGACAACTTAACTATTTTTTCCATTTGATTTGATCAACTCAATGACTCCCCTTCCCAAAATCCAACTTCAATCTCCCACACCCTCCTATTCCAACAAAAAATCTCCCACCCACTTTTTTTTGGGATATGCTTGCATTAATGTTTTGAATTTAAAGACAAAAATAATGGCAGCAATATATATGTAAATAATATAAATTTTAAAGAAAATTTTTTTTTTGGATTATACACATTAGCATTTCCTTTTTTTTTTTTCATAATTTACCCCTTTTGTATTTTATGTTTTTTATTTGATCTCATGAAAATGTGACTTTTGTAACATTAATATTGAAATTTTAAAATATGATATGATTATACTATAAGCCCTTTTGATGATGATATTTGTGGTTACAAAAATTATATACTATTTGTTTTATAGATCCTTTTAGCAATATTTTTCGAAACCTTTGACTTCATTGGTTGAATTATAACCTAAGATAATATTCTCTTGGCCACCATCATTATCCTCACATTTATCATATATTTGTATTTAAATTTACAACCTTCATTTTAGACCTCATTTAGTATTATTATTGAAAATAGTTTTTCATTTAAAAGTTACTTTTAATCCAACCGAAATACTAAATAATAAAAAAAAATTTGATTTTTAACTCAAATTAAAAGTTTCTCAAAATATGTTTTGCACTGAAAAAATATATTTAGGATAAAAGTCTAATTTTTGTTAATTTAAGCATATGTTTTTAGATATTTCTATCATTCACAATACTTTTTACAATAATATCAAATACTTAAAGTTTTTAATTACATTTTTCACTATACTTTTTAAACATACCTTTTTCAATTAAAATTTTTTTAATCATAACAATAATACTAAATTAACCTTTAAAAAAGTCCATAGAATCACCAAGGTTTCAAGTTCTGCCACTCAAGTTGGGCAATTAAATATAATTTTTAAAATTCAAGCTCAGCCCAAACATATTATTATATTAATAAATAATATATTTTTATTTTAATTTAAAAATAAAAATATATTAAAAATATTAAAAATTAATGTAAAAAATTTTAATAATAAACTTAAACTATAAAATGACAGACCAAACTCGATCACAAACTTAAATTTTCAAAATATGAAGGGTACGTACCTAATTTGACCCATATTAACACTTCTATTTTATATGTATGATTGGTTCACAGCGTCTAAGATTACATAAAATAATGTTCTTTGATGGCATGAAGTCAATCGTTTTTAATTTAAAATGTTTGTAAAATCCAACAGCTGAGATGTTCCATTTGTATAATAAGCTATGAAGTTTATGAAAGAAAAAACAAAATAAAAGAAGCCACGTTGTGAATGACCTGTCACATGAATATTAAGATGAGTCGTGATTGTGTACGTCACTTACATCCCACTGAATACCCATAATTATTACTTCTATAATAATAATTTAGCAGTCATTAAGCCGACCAAATGCAGCTTTGAGGTCATTAATTAATTAATAATACTATGAACCGAATATGTTACAACATTAATTAATTCATGTATAGTTGATGTGCATATCCTTATCATTGACAAGTAATGAGTTTCTTCTTTCCCCTTTTTTTTTTTTAATTCAAAATTTCATACCCACTTTAAGTGTAAATTTAAGCTCACGTTCTTGGATCATCAGCAATGAAATGTACTTTTTAACTTAAAATTTATAGATTTTGTTTTCAATACATCTTAATTATGTTTTAAGGAATAAAAATTCATTATCTTATTCGTTGCAATAGTTCAATATCATGGACAACCGATACTAAATGATTTTAATTATAACTTTTATTTTATTTAAGAATCGAATCTTAAATGAGAGAAATGAATATACAAAAAGGATATCAACTCATGTTATGTAACTCAAAATTATATGAAAATAATTGAGATAACACAAGAATTAATCAATAATTCACAACTTTAATTAACATGAAATGCTTTTTGATTAGTTGCCTTGATTTTAATTAGTTGATTGATGTCATCTTCGCCTCAATAATTGCTAATTTTTTTATTGATTGTTTTGGACTTGAATTGTTAGGATGAGAATATAATTTTTCATAAATTTATTAAATTTAAG